ATTCTATTGGATAGTTGTTGAGAAAATTTGTCCAAAATTAAGAAAATTCTACTTCGATAGTTTGACGTACGTTATATATCACGTGATCGTCGGTACGTGCAAAATCACGTGACCTGTACGTGTCCGTAGACTTCCCGCGAGAAATACCACATAATCACGTGATCACGACTTTACCAGCACATTATCATTATGTAATTGAATCGGAATTACAGTCGTATCTCTCTAAGTGCATACCACAATTTAAACAGTAGGATATTTGGGCCAGCACTTGAGTTGCATTTAGAGAGGGTGTACACTTACAGAGGGTGTGGTCTGACAGTATTAATTTATAGTAATTGTTTATAAAAAAACGGTAATTTAAGTCTCACAGCAATATAATAGTGCAAAAGAAGAATAAAAAAAAGTATGTATAAATACGAATAGATAAGTTTTTTAGGCATTGGATAGGCAATCGGCTTGAGATTATATACAAAAAACCTGTATTAAAAAAAAAAATGAATACCGACATTTATCCATTTTTACGATTCTTTATTACCTCATGAAATCTAGTTTCATTTTCATCAATTAAGAATCTTAAATAATAAAATGAACTAATAAAAGTGGCAAAACGGACGAAAGGTGAGAAGATTAACAAAACTACCAAAGATGAAGATTTGAAGATAATGTGAATAAAAAAAAAATAAATTAACAAATTGGTTTATTATATAACTAGGTGCTTGGATTGTTTAGAGGAGTATTTTATATTGTATTATATTGGCACTCTATATATCAGTTCTGGTAAGAAATCACTTAGTGCTTACTTCGTGGTCTTATATAGATATAAATAGTATATTCGAATATACAATTGTTTATGGAATCAATATTCGAATATAAAAATTTTTCACCAAATATTTCATTGAATTATTGAATATTCAATGAATATATACCATCTAATCAACAAATTGAACGAAAGTAAATGAACAAGATAAATCCAGATTAGCTAGAGTTTACCTATCGATTTATTATTTTAATGTAGCTTGTAAGTATAAAATTCATTTGTTAGCTTGTGTATTTAAACTCTTGGATTATTTAACTTAAGGATATTTTCTTACCATAATTTATTATTGTTCTGAATCAACAACGATATTTTTTATATTCAATGAATATTCGAATCCTCATTTGAAATCCGTTGATTGAGTTAAACAAATAAATATTTGAATACTTATCCTTTGACCGGATTAGACCTCTAGTCTTACAAATTCATTTGTGCCAATATGTTTTAATTCATTATTTGGTTCATTCCATGAGTACTATGACTTTTGACAAGTCTATTTCAACTAGCCTATAATGACCCTAGTGTTGCCCTGAAAAACATGAACTGAATTATTTTGCTTGCTTACATGTAATTTCGGATATTGATCTTTAATGAAATGAAACCTTTTTTTATTAATCAATAAACTTTGCAAAGTAGAACAGGCATAAATCATGGACTCATGAAGCACAAAAAATTTTACAGATCATCGATCCAACTAAATCGCAAGGAATGATAATAGCGCCTTGCTAAGAACAGAATTTTGCAGGTTACTATTATTATTATAAAAGAATTCAGAGAAAAAAATTCGAATAGTATATCCCTTTTGGAGAACAACTCAAGAATAAATAAACAAAAATGCACAATTAATAATTTTATTAAAGATAATTTATAATAAGCTTCGATATCTCATTTAATTTATTTGACAAGAAAATTTTAAGTTGCAATATATATGCAAAAATTTAAGCATAAATTTTTTCACTAAGAAAAAATTTTGATACAAAAGACCCACTTCGCATTAAAAATATAATCGTCGCTTTTGAAATTTTAATATTAGAATATTAATACTAACATTTTTAATAATGTAATATTTAAATATACATACCAAATTAATAATCGAGATATACTCCATTCTTTAAACAATCCAAAAAACTATCCCAAAGATTTTCTCTATGCTGTCATCTCCAAATAAACTCAAACAAATGCTCTGAAACCTCTGACTTTGTGTGATTTCGCGGAGGAATTTTGACTTTGATACCATTCCAAGTTCCTTCTATAGTATTCGTATAGGTACCGGTTAGAGGATTAACAAAATTCTGGCTATTATTTACCGTGTGATGCTCCATACCCAAAGCATTGTTGATTTGAAAATAAAAATGCCACATATTAGAAAATACGATAGAATCAGGATGAATATTCCGTTCAATAGCACGTAGTAATGTTTTCGCGGTTCTATCATTTACAACCTGAGCAAAAACCCTTCTTTCTGGAGTTCGTTCAACACCTCCAAATACCCATGCACCATTGACACGATGCCCACGATTATATTTTCATCGTCCAAACAGAGATTCATCTATCTCCACAACAATACCGGAACCTCCAATTTTGTCTTGTGTTTCTTGTACTTCAAAACTAACCATCCCTCTAAAATAACCAATATAATCAGTAACAGTGCCGGATGAATGACCAGTAATATTCATAATAACATGATGAGGAGCTCCGGCAAGCCAATAATATTCTATTTTAAGTATATCGTTGACTTTAATTTTGCTATTATAAAATAATGAATCTTTGAAAATAGAAAATGCCTTTCGACATTTTTTAGTCGTGCAACAAAATTTTTTTTTATGCCGTCTTACAGATCCTCTGCATTCAACATCAATACAATGGGATGGTTGATTAAGAATCCCTTTTGCAAACAAAAATTCGATACAATTTGCTTCATTCAAAAAAATCGATTGTAATGAAGTAAAAGATGGTAGTGACATTTCGCCACAAGACTTTAATTCAAGACTCAAAATATAATCCATATATAATATATAAATGAAAGTATTACTTAACTAATACGTATGATTATACTTAAATCAATCAATTTAATCGAACTTATGATTTTTGATAAATTAAATTTATTAAGTCATATACGGTCATTCTTCTTAAATCTAATTTTATAATATAATAATCATCGTAATTAATCATTATATCCGTATTTCTATTTTATTATGTCTTATAATAAATTGCTAAACACTATTTACCTTTGGTACTAATAATTAGCTATTCGTTGTTCTAATTTTGTTACAATAACCAACTTGAGCTATCCCAAGACATTATCGTATCAACGTGTCTTTGAGAATAACTGAGTATTATACCGTAATATCACCCAAACACTATAGTAACTAGGAACCGGAAACCGGTGTGAGTCCGAAGCATCAGTATACATTTACATTATAATTTTAAATTTTAAGAGAAAAAGATGCTTAATTTTGAATTTTTGACCAAAAATCCAAAATTAAGCATCTTTTCTCTTAAATTTAAAAATTATAAAATAAATGTATACTAATATGATGTATTTTTACGCGTAGAACAAGTTTACTTATAGTATAAAGGTAGAATTAGATAGTACAATTTTGTGGATTGCAATATTTTCCATAAT